ATCTACATATAAAGACGGAGAAAGTAAACGATAACGTTTATGGTTAAGTGTTAGCACCCCCCGAAGAGGCACAAGCTCTTACGTTGATATTGGAGATTTCAATAAATTAAATTTGAAAGAAAAGAAAGAAAAAAACAATATCTGAATAACGAAATTGAAACCCGAAGAGTACTCCAACGAACGAATATTCGGGTACAGCCCTAATGTTTACCTCACAGGAGTCACTGTTTGACAACAAAACAGGGTACGTACACTACCCATCTAAACCCAAAATATCTAAGTTGCTATGAGAACTATCGCAAATTAAGAAGTTTACAGAATTAACTTCCAATAGTTTATACCTAAAGAAGTAAATCCAAATGGATTCAATGTCTTTTAACTAGGGATGGGTACCGAGCCCCGGTATTAAACGGGCCCCGGGGCTGAAGCCCGTTAAGCTCCGACGTTATCGGTCTTTTTATCGGTACTGGAGACATTTAAAACATATATGTCATATGTATTATTGCTACACAAACATTATATTGCAGTTTTAGTTTCGCCAACTTCGTTTCTAATACGCAGATAGAATTAATAATGAATACGATTTGTGAAAACATTGTTGTTTCTTTTGATGTGAAATATTATGTATTTAATTTAAATAAAAAGCAATGTTAGTTTTGTTCACAATTTGTTTAGTTAGTTTCCCTTATTTTTTTCGATAAGAGTACCGTTAAAAGATCGGATCGATAAGCGGTATCGATAAAAGTAGTAGTACCGTTAAAACCTTAACGATACCCATCCCTACTTTTAAGACTTTTTCAAGGATCTACAGGAACCCTGGACGATATTTAAATTCAAAGATATTCCTAACCTTGAAATCATAATATTTAAAATAACCATTTTTCACATTTTCCAGACTTTGTGTGAACTCAGATGAACTGTGGTAAAGAAAGGCCACACACCCTCCTGCACCGTCTTGTCCTGAGGAAGGTCGGGCATGTTTTCGTCCAGCAGGTCGGCCAGAGACTGAGTGTTGGCCAGCAGCTTCTGGTAGGAAGTCGCAAACTCTTCGTATTGTTTGTGTCGGTCCTCACTCAGCTCCCCTTTGGAGTGTAGGATACGCCTGAAGAGGGCGGGAAGAGGAGGGGGTCATTTTTATCATTAATTCTTTTATTGAGCCATAGTCCTGTGTCAAATGTGCTTGCTAGGTTTTATAATATTTAGTCAACATCATCCTGTCTTAAGTTATGTAAAGAAAATGCTTAAATTAACTAGTTTAGTTTAGTTTGACCTGAGTAAGTATATGACTCTGAATATTCCCAAAAAGGGCAAAGCATTAGCCTCATTTACCGGCTAGTAAAATATGCACAAGGCTGGTACATCTGACACCATCCCAAAAAACAATGGTGATGTGGCCGGTCAAATTTGAACATTTAAAAGTAGTTGTAGAATATAGAGTCATTTGTATCATTGAATGAAGTAAACACTGCTATGGTGCTCGAGTCAAAAGCTTTAAAATGCACCTGTTCTGCCTCTCGGTGTTCTGCAGCTCGCGGTGGTCCTTCTTCAGGTGTTTGGTGAGCGAGGTGAAGTATTCCCTCAGCAGGTTCTGGAAGGTCTGCTGCTTCTCCGTGCCGATGATCTCGCTCGGAGGGAAGCTCAGAGCGAACTTGTCAGTGGCCGCTTTCACTTTTCGGGGCAGCAGCCCGGCGATATCGTCCCCGCAGTGCTTACAGAAGCTGATGACCACCGACACATGAGTGTGCGTGTCGCGATCCGTCCCGATGATGCTCTTCAGCTGCTCGTAGATCAGAGAGAGCCCCTCCTTGTCCGTGAACAGCCCGACGATGGTGAGCTCGGCGATGAAGCGCAGGTCTGTTCGCAGCTTGCTCACGTTGGGCGCCTTCTCCTCCTTCCTGGCCTCAAAGTGCTTCTTCCACGCCTGTAAGAGCAGCGGAGCGAACTCGGTGTAGCGCTGGTGGAAGAGTGAGCAGAGGTGGACGGAGCAGCCCACGTCGGAGATCTTCAGCTTGGCCTCCACCACGGAGCTCACCGCCTCGCCGATGTACTTGCTGAGGTTCAGGGAGCCGAAGTCGTTGGAGAGCGAGTCGCGCTGCTGTTCGGTGAGCGTTCGCAGCTTCTTCACGAAGGCCGTGTTCTTCTTCAGGCTGGAGTCCAGGCGGCTGAAGAAAGCCTCCTCGGGGCGACCCTCCTGGGCGTTTTGGTTCTTCACGCGGAGTTCCTTCCTGCAGTGATGGCGCTCCCAGGCCTCCTGGTGCAGCTGATGGCTCTCCTCCTTCTCCCTGCAGAAATGTATTTATTTGTTTACGCTGCTATGGACAGTCTTACACTAATGCACATTCTCAAAGATATTGAAGTGACTGTTATTTTGTAAATACGTGACCCGCTACTCGGAATCAGTCGGAAGCCATAGTTCTTTGGGGTTCGGGTGTTTTGTTTGATTTTAACTAAACAAAGTCTTGGCTTTCAGAATATGAAACTTTTATTTCCAAAATCACACGATAAATACATGTTTGAAGCTTGTAAAGGGAAGATGACAGCTCTCCCTCGCACTCTGCTCTTCCGCAGCGCCGTCCCCCCTCCCTCCGCTGACATTTTCTAATGTAGGCATATAGTAATCATAGATAACACTGCAGGGTCCGTTAAAGTTTGTTTTCATCTGATTTCAAATAAACAAAGTCTTGGCTTTCAGAATATTAAACTTGTTTCAGCAAATTCAGATGATAAATACAACTTTGAAGCTTGTGACGGCATAATTACAAGCGGAGAACGGAGTAACTTGACGNGATTTTAACTAAACAAAGTCTTGGCTTTCAGAATATGAAACTTTTATTTCCAAAATCACACGATAAATACATGTTTGAAGCTTGTAACGGGAAGAAGACAGCTCTCACTCTCACTCTGCTGTTCCGCAGCGCCCCCCCCCTCCCTCCGCTGACATTATGAAGGTAAGGCATATAGTGATCATAGATAACACGGCAGGGTCCGTTACATTTGGTTTTCATCTGATTTCAAATAAACAAAGTCTTGACTTTCAGAATATTAAACTTGTTTCGGCAAATTCAGATGATAAATACAACTTTGAAGCTTGTGACGGCATAATTACAAGCGGAGAACGGAGTAACTTGACGTCACAGGAGGCAGAACAACAGCCGGTGTTTCTCGTGAGTGTTTTCCCCGGGAAACAAACGCAATACACACAAACGCAAAATTACACAAACAAACACACACACACGTACACACACACACACGTACACACACACACACACACCCGCGAGCTTCCCCCAGACCAGTAATCCAAACAAAAATATCTTCCCTCCGTACTACTTTGATCATTTGCTAATAACCAATCAGATCGATGGATTCCAGAGAGGAGGACACTTTGAAGGCCTTTTTCTCAAAGTGATGACTCGATGACAGTCATTATATAATGTGACATATTTCGCTTAATATTTGGAGAACAACAACAATCCTGATATCATTAGAAAGCTAGGAATCTCCTCTTTCCAACAGTGTATACAACTAAACATGTGTCTTCGGGTCAATGCGATGGAGCAGGTCACATGTTGATTGTTGTGCTTTTATTTAGGTCTTAACGTGTGCATAATATAAATGTGTCTTTGATTGTGTAAATATAGGTATATACATATTCTTATATATATTTGCTTTTGTATTCGGGATTGTGGGAAACGGTATTTCGATCTCTCGGTCTGGACACACAAACTGAAAGATTGACATTAAAGTTGACTTTAAGCGAAAATGAGAGTGATGCAGGATGAAGACAACAGGAAAAGAGACGGTATTTGCACTGGGTTCCTTCCTGAAGGGACATTTGTTACATTACATGATACTTGTTAGACGCTTTTATCCAAAGCGACTTCCATACTCAATACTGTGGGCAATCCCCACAGGAGCAATTTGGGGTGAAGTGTCTCAGGGACACAACGACATGCTGACTGACTGCCAAGGCACACANCAAAGCGACTTCCATACTCAATACTGTGGGCAATCCCCACAGGAGCAATTTGGGGTGAAGTGTCTCAGGGACACAACGACATGCTGACTGCAGTGGGGTTTGAACCTGTTACCCCCTGATCCCAACACATACGCACAATCCACTGCGCCACACGTCTCCTTGTTGCTACAAAAATGGGACAATTTCCCAATTTGAATTTTTAGTAATGTATATGATGTGAGTAAGCTATGGGCTATAGTTTGTTTGCTTTTTGTACATTTTGGTGTATCAAGGTATAAGCAGGAAGTCAAATGTAAAATCTTTTAAGAACCTTTTTAAGACCCTTTCCATACATTTTAAGACCTCATCTCCACTTGGAGTTCTAACCGGTTACCTTGGCGACACACTTTACCTCACATTGACTATATTCAGTATCGATTGTCCTTCCTCCTTATCTTCCAACCATTTGGACGCAGACTTGCATTTCCCCATAACGATGTTGTTTAACAACCGGCGTAAATGGACCTTCTCGCGCTATCAAGCAGTGAGCGTGTGATGTCCTGTTCAGATGACGTCAAATCCAACGGGATGCCATAAATAAACTACACAGAATCACACTACACACCTACGCAGTGATTACATTCAGGCAGACTGTAGAATACAACCTCTTTGGACCATTTATAGACTTATTGAAAACAAGCTACAAAATGAATACCTTGGAAAATGCCAGCTAATTTTCGCTAAATTGATTTATCAACTTTTAATACTTTTTAAGACCCCGCGGACACCATGACTTTCTTTCCGTATTTTAGGTCAGATATTCATGACCTTCCTTCGACTGTGTTCCCAAATTTCCATGACTTCCCCACTTTTTTAGACCAGATATCCAAAGACTTTTCCACCACCTTGCCATGACTGTTCCATCTTGACTTCCTCGTGACTTTTGGCCAGATTTCCACGACAAAACATGCGGTCGTTATTAATTGTTTACTCTTTCAAGACAGCTAGCAATCAAACTGTACACAACTAAAGCAACTAATCAGCAAAAACATGGTTGCATGAAAAACTTCTACATTTCTGATGGTTTTCATGTAATTTTCTGATATTTTCTTTAACATAATTATCTGTCATTTTTCACATTATTACACTTTGGAAAATACCGTTTCATGCTTTTTAATAGCCTTGATTTTCGCTAAATTGATTTATCAACTTTTAATACTTTTTAAGACCCCGCGGACACCCTGTGTATATTTTTGACAAATGTGCACCATGTAAAATAACACATGAGAGTTCTGAAGTGTACATTTAGGCGTAGAAATAGCATCAATTGGGCGATACAGGATAACAGCATTAAAATGTGTCTTTACAAAAGCCCCACTTACTTCAGGAGAGCTGCCTCCTCCTCTCGCTGTTTCCTGGCTTCCTCCTCCTGAAGTTGCTTCTCCTGCTCCTCCTGCAGCTTTTTCTCCTCTTCCTCTTTCTTCTTCTGCTCCTCCTCCGCTTTCACTTTTTCCTCCTCTTTCTTTTTACGATCCTTTTCTTCCCTCTTCTTCTTTTCCTCCTCGAGGCGCTTCCTCTTCTCCTCCTTGCTGCTGTCTTTTTTCCCGCTCATTTTGGCCTCGTCTTTCCCTTTGTCCCGGGCGGACGATGGTCTCCTCTCGCCATCTCGCTCCTTCTCCTTGTCCTTGTTGCTGAAGGTGCAAACATCTTTTTCGTCCATGTTTAATGAGCGTTTGCGTTCAGCAGGCATACTGAGGAAAGACAATAAGAGAAAGGTTGTTTATTAATGCTTTTTAAGAATTTTAGAAACTGTTTCGGCCAGCTGTTTTCTAATCTACATTGATGTGGTTTCCAGAAATGTCACTGTCAAGCCCCTTGTTGAATTTAACTGACATAAACTAAAGTCGTACACATTTGAAGTACTTTATTTAAAGGTCCCATGTCATGGCCATTTCTACTGATCATAATTCCATTGTTGAGGTCTACTAGAATAGATTTATATTGTTCAATTTTCCAAAACTCACATTGGTTTCTCATCGAGCATCTCTGTACAGAATGTGTACTCCCTCCCTCCCTGTGAGCCCACTGTGCTCTGATTGGTCAGCTCGCCCACTCTGTTCTGATGAGTCTTCCACCGTTACATCAGTGATTATGTGTTACAATGGCGTTTGTTAGCAACCAGGAAATGACACCAGGGGTGTTGAGGGGGCTGCAGCACCCCCATCTGCGAGGCTCCACTAGCACCCGCACTCCCCCCCCGCACCCCCAAAAGCGGGGCACCTACAGTGTAACCGCGCCACAAGAGTGTGTGTGTGTGTGTGTGTGTGTGTGTGTGTGTGTGTGTGTGTGTGAGAGAGGAGCTCCACGGATGGTCCATTTGGGTATGGTCACGTCACTGTACCCAGGAAGAAAAAGAGAAATCCCCAACGAGGCGTTCTGGGGCAGCATAGACAGGTCTTCTCTGTGTTAGAGTTTTACTCGCTACAGGGTGTACTTTGAGGGTTTGTGACTCTGCAGACCGTTTACATGCAGAAAAACCTTCAT